TATTCAAGGTGTACTTAGATTTAAATTTCTGTAAATAACTAACACTAGGGTAAGTCTCTATGTATTACTAACACGCTATGGATGTATAGTCCTAAATAAATGTATTTGAATTTGAATAGTTTGAAAACCATTATTGACGAACTCTTAAATTTGTCTGCTTTTATTGAACAAGTAGTTTCATTTTTTACTGTTTTGTTGCAGATATGTGGCTAAAGGACTCTACCAATGAGTACATAGAAATTTAAAACAGGGTTATAAATGTAACAAGTTGACGACTCAAGACTATAGTAAGTTTTACAGACATTTTTATGCATCTTCAAACAAAATTACTCAAGATACATTTTTATTAAAGTATTGCACAGCTCAAACTCCAAAAAAAGAAGGCATAAAAACTCAAACAATATGTTATTTTATTCCAAAGTACGAATCAACTGTCGGCGGTAAACGCTCCATCAAATTAAAAAAGTATGCCAAAAAGCAATGACCAAACTTTTAGGAATATCTAAAGACAGAATACAAAGAATTTGCAAAAGACATTTAACTACTACGGAACTGCCGAAAGAAAGAAGAGGTGTTGATAGAAGATCTTCACAGTATTCAGGTCGTACAGAATCTGTTAAGTCATTTATAAACAGTCTTAAATCCATAAAATCACACTATACGAGAGGAAGGTCTACTGTACAATACCTGAGCAGTGACCTTAATATAAAAAAATTACACAAACTTTATAACAATAAAGCACAAAATGTGCCGGTAAAATACGAATTTTTTCGGAGAATATTTACAAATTTTTTTTAATTTAAGTTTTAAGACACCGGCTACTGACGCTTGCTCTAAGTGCATTCAATTAAAAGAGAATATCAAAAGTGAAAATGATCTAGCTAAAAAACAGATGTTCATAGCGCAGCTTAGGATTCACAGGTTAAAGGCCAAAACTTTTTATACTAGCCTCAAGACGCAAAATGACAATGAAATTATCTTATCTATATTTAATTGTCAAAAGAATCAGATTCTACCAAAAGTGCCGGATCAAAGTGCCTACTTTAGCCGACAACTGTATGCATACAATCTAACAATCTGCCAAGGGCCATCTTGTAGCCCTCAAAATTATTCAAATACGTTTATATACACGTGGCTCGAAACCGAGGCTTTAAAAGGATCCAATTAGTTACAGTTTTATATTTCGGTTATCTTTTAATAAATAAATAAATTTATCTTAGAAAATTTATTTATTTATTTTATTCAAGGTGTACTTAGATTTAAACTTCTGTAAATAACTAACACTAGGGTAAGTCTCTATGTATTACTAACACGCTATGGATGTATAGTCCGAAATAAATGTATTTGAATTTGAATAGTTTGAAAACCATTATTGGTGAACTCTTAAATTTGTCTGCTTTTATTGAACAAGTAGTTTCATTTTTTACTGTTTTGTTGCAGATATGTGGCTAAAGGACCTCTACCTATGAGTACATAGAAATTTAAAACAGGGTTATAAATGTAACGAGTTGACGACTCAAGACTATAGTAAGTTTTACAGACATTTTTATGCATCTTCAAACAAAATTACTCAAGATACATTTTTATTAAAGTATTGCACAGCTCAAACTCCAAAAAAAGAAGGCATAAAAACTCAAACAATATGTTATTTTATTCCAAAGTACGAATCAACTGACGGCGGTAAACGCTCCATCAAATTAAAAAAGTATGCCAAAAAGCAATGACCACACTTTTAGGAATATCTAAAGACAGAATACAAAGAATTTGCAAAAGACATTTAACTACTACGGAACTGCCGAAAGAAAGAAGAGGTGGTGATAGAAGATCTTCACAGTATTCAGGTCGTACAGAATCTGTTAAGTCATTTATAAACAGTCTTAAATCCATAAAATCACACTATACGAGAGGAAGGTCTACTGTACAATACCTGAGCAGTGACCTTAATATAAAAAAATTACACAAACTTTATAACAATAAAGCACAAAATGTGCCGGTAAAATACGAATTTTTTCGGAGAATATTTACAAATTTTTTTAATTTAAGTTTTAAGACACCGGCTACTGACGCTTGCTCTAAGTGCATTCAATTAAAAGAGAATATCAAAAGTGAAAATGATCTAGCTAAAAAACAGATGTTCATAGCGCAGCTTAGGATTCACAGGTTAAAGGCCAAAACTTTTTATACTAGCCTCAAGACGCAAAATGACAATGAAATTATCTTATCCTTTGATTGTCAAAAGAATCAAGTTCTACCAAAAGTGCCGGATCAAAGTGCCTACTTTAGCCGACAACTGTATGCATACAATCTAACAATCTGCCAAGGGCCATCTTGTAGCCCTCAAAATTATTCAAATACGTTTATATACACGTGGCTCGAAACCGAGGCTTTAAAAGGATCCAATTAGTTACAGTTTTATATTTCGGTTATCTTTTAATAAATAAATAAATTTATCTTAGAAAATTTATTTATTTATTTTATTCAAGGTGTACTTAGATTTAAATTTCTGTAAATAACTAACACTAGGGTAAGTCTCTATGTATTACTAACACGCTATGGATGTATAGTCCGAAATAAATGTATTTGAATTTGAATAGTTTGAAAACCATTATTGGTGAACTCTTAAATTTGTCTGCTTTTATTGAACAAGTAGTTTCATTTTTTACTGTTTTGTTGCAGATATGTGGCTAAAGGACCTCTACCAATGAGTACATAGAAATTTAAAACAGGGTTATAAATGTAACGAGTTGAAGACTCAAGACTATAGTAAGTTTTACAGACATTTTTATGCATCTTCAAACAAAATTACTCAAGATACATTTTTATTAAAGTATTGCACAGCTCAAACTCCAAAAAAAGAAGGCATAAAAACTCAAACAATATGTTATTTTATTCCAAAGTACGAATCAACTGTCGGCGGTAAACGCTCCATCAAATTAAAAAAGTATGCCAAAAAGCAATGACCACACTTTTAGGAATATCTAAAGACAGAATACAAAGAATTTGCAAAAGACATTTAACTACTACGGAACTGCCGAAAGAAAGAAGAGGTGTTGATAGAAGATCTTCACAGTATTCAGGTCGTACAGAATCTGTTAAGTCATTTATAAACAGTCTTAAATCCATAAAATCACACTATACGAGAGGAAGGTCTACTGTACAATACCTGAGCAGTGACCTTAATATAAAAAAATTACACAAACTTTATAACAATAAAGCACAAAATGTGCCGGTAAAATACGAATTTTTTCGGAGAATATTTACAAATTTTTTTTAATTTAAGTTTTAAGACACCGGCTACTGACGCTTGCTCTAAGTGCATTCAATTAAAAGAGAATATCAAAAGTGAAAATGATCTAGCTAAAAAACAGATGTTCATAGCGCAGCTTAGGATTCACAGGTTAAAGGCCAAAACTTTTTATACTAGCCTCAAGACGCAAAATGACAATGAAATTATCTTATCTATATTTAATTGTCAAAAGAATCAAGTTCTACCAAAAGTGCCGGATCAAAGTGCCTACTTTAGCCGACAACTGTATGCATACAATCTAACAATCTGCCAAGGGCCATCTTGTAGCCCTCAAAATTATTCAAATACGTTTATATACACGTGGCTCGAAACCGAGGCTTTAAAAGGATCCAATTAGTTACAGTTTTATATTTCGGTTATCTTTTAATAAATAAATAAATTTATCTTAGAAAATTTATTTATTTATTTTATTCAAGGTGTACTTAGATTTAAACTTCTGTAAATAACTAACACTAGGGTAAGTCTCTATGTATTACTAACACGCTATGGATGTATAGTCCGAAATAAATGTATTTGAATTTGAATAGTTTGAAAACCATTATTGGCGAACTCTTAAATTTGTCTGCTTTTATTGAACAAGTAGTTTCATTTTTTACTGTTTTGTTGCAGATATGTGGCTAAAGGACCTCTACCTTGAGTACATAGAAATTTAAAACAGGGTTATAAATGTAACGAGTTGACGACTCAAGACTATAGTAAGTTTTACAGACATTTTTATGCATCTTCAAACAAAATTACTCAAGATACATTTTTATTAAAGTATTGCACAGCTCAAACTCCAAAAAAAAGAAGGCAAAAAAAAACTCAAACAATATGTTATTACATTCCAAAGTACGAATCAACTGTCGGCGGTAAACGCTCCATCAAATTAAAAAAGTATGCCAAAAAGCAATGACCAAACTTTTAGAAATATCTAAAGACAGAATACAAAGAATTTGCAGAAGACATTTAACTACTACGGAACTGCCGAAAGAAAGAAGAGGTGGCGATAGAAGATCTTCACAGTATTCAGGTCGTACAGAATCTGTTAAGTCATTTATAAAGAGTCTTAAATCCATAAAATCACACTATACGAGAGGAAGGTCTACTGTACAATACCTGAGCAGTGACTTTAATATAAAAAAAATTACACAAACTTTATAACAATAAAGCACAAAATGTGCCGGTAAAATACGAATTTTTTCGGAGAATATTTACAAAATTTTTTAATTTAAGTTTTAAGACACCGGCTACTGACGCTTGCTCTAAGTGCATTCAATTAAAAGAGAATATCAAAAGTGAAAATGATCTAGCTAAAAAACAGATGTTGATAGCGCAGCTTAGGATTCACAGGTTAAAGGCCAAAACTTTTTATACTAGCCTCAAGACGCAAAATGACAATGAAATTATCTTATCCTTTGATTGTCAAAAGAATCAGGTTCTACCAAAAGTGCCGGATCAAAGTGCCTACTTTAGCCGACAACTGTATGCATACAATCTAACAATCTGCCAAGGGCCATCTTGTAGCCCTCAAAATTATTCAAATACGTTTATATACACGTGGCTCGAAACCGAGGCTTTAAAAGGATCCTTTCAGATTGCATCAGCATTATTTCACAGGCTGTTAAATACCACTTTTGATAGCAGTATTGAACATATAAAATTATTTTGTGATGGTTGTGGGGGCCAAAATAAAAATTCCATAGTTTTGGGAATGTTGGCATATTGGTTTAAAACAAAAGCTCCAAGTCAAATTAAAAAAATAACTATTATATTTCCGGTAGTTGGGCATTCCTTTTTGCCACCCGACCGTATATTTGGAAATATCGAAAGAGAGATACGCCCTTTAGAGGTGATTGCGGAACCCGAGGTTTATTTTGATATTTTCAAAAGATATGGTAAAGTTATTAGACTTGGAAGTGACTTCCAGTTTTATGACTGGAAAACAAGCGTTACAAATGTGCTGAAATTACCAGGATCTTGGCATTTCAAATTTAATGCTTCTAACAGATTTTTCCTGAGAAAGGATAAGAATAATAAAATTGGAATCAAAGGGGAACCTAATTATGTATCTGAAGTGGTCAACTATGGGAATGTTTGTAAAAGAGGAAAGTCTTATGAAAACATTAAACCTACGTTGATGAATATTGGAGTTCCTGTAAAAACAGAAAAATTAAATGACGTGAGAAAACTATTGATTAAACATTTCGGAGAAGACTGGATTACTATTGAAAATCTTCAATATTATAAGTTTTTACAAGAAGAAGAAAATGAAAGTAATTTAATAGAAACTGACTCTGAAGAAACTCTAATGGAAGATGAAATAGATATAAGAGTGTAAAAAAAACTAAGTTATTAAAATTATTAATAACTTATTTTTAAGACATAAGTGAAAAACTGATTCAAAACTGTCTATGTTAATTCCATACAGCTGCAAAAATGTTTATGTTACGAATACTTTTGCAGAACTTGCTATGTTCAATTTTAATATTCAAATTAAAAGATTAATGTTATTACGAGATTTTATTTTTTATAACAAAATAATTCTAAATAATACCACTTAAGCGTATACTAAAGTAACAGTATTTTCTTAACTTACTTTGACAGATATAATGTTTTAATTAATTTTCTTAATTCATTAGTCAATCAATATAACGCATTTTGCAAGTGGACTACTCATATGTACTATATCGTTTATTCTCCGATCTGATCCCCATTCCCCACGATATAAGTCTAGTTCGTGTGATGCTGTTAGCCTTTAGGCTCAGAACAATAACTAAAGCATAAAAGTCGTACTAGATAATTAAAACGAACATTGTCATAAACAAAAGGGAATTAACTAGTGATGTACCGGTACAAATAATTAATACTGATATCGGAACTGGTATTTTTGTCTATGGTAAAACCATGAAAGCGTGGAATCATATCCTCAGATTTATTATATGGTGTCTGTGATTTTCAGAGTTTAATATCTCTTCATGACTATCATCATAATACCAAGGCGGCGCGGCGGGTAATTACAGTAGCGTTCAAGGTTTTAAATTTTTTAACTAATCTACTGAAAAAACATGGAGTGCTAGTGAATCTTGGCCCCGCAACCTTAATAAAAACCACAGACTACTTATACAAATTGGAAATAGTGAGATGAGATTAACTACTACAACAGTAAAATTAAAAATAAATATTTTTTATAATTTCACACAAATTCTATGTACAATTTGTACACCACATAATACGAAAGCGGATCCTGGGTTCTCCCGCGTTGGGCGGGATGAGCAACCGGGATAAACGCTAGGTAGAAGAAGAAGAAGAAGAAGAAGAAGAAAAAGAGCCATGCTGCAGTTATATTGCTAGTATAGTTGTAGCACGAATGGGTCGGCTCAACCGGGGATGGACCACGCTCTCACAGAATACCAGCGTAAAATAGTAGCATAATGCTGTTGTGTTTCGTATGGTGAGTGTAGAGAACCGGTGACCCTTTTTACTGGAAACGAGGCATTCCATCTTAGTCCTCACGGGTGATAACGCATCTGCATTTTGATTCGTAATCGAGGATATATGTAGATGTCTATGGGCCACAGCAACCACTTACCATCAGGTGGACTGTGTGCTCGTTTGTCACCCTATTCTACAAAAAAAAACTAACCATCATATCGAACATACATATAAATTATATAAAATCACATTGTCAGAAAGATAAATGATTGTTGAACTTATTATTATAATTTTTAAATGAAATAATTGCTATTTTTACATCAAAAAATATGGTTTTAGTGGCGTATAGTGTAGATTTATCACGTCCGCTTGAAGGGGTAATCACCATAACTTTTGAAAATATCAATTGTTCAATTCAATCTATTTTTTAATCTATTCATCTATCATTTGAGAAGCCATGGAATCTAAACGGCTGTTTAATTTGAGTCTGTGATGGGGCTCAAGAAGAAACTTCAGGAATAAAGTCGTTCAAGTTGATTGGTAGAATGTGATTGATACTTAGCAAAATTTGACGAAATATTCAACAGTCATCATCATCATCATCATTACAGCCCTTCACAGGTCCACTGCTGAACATAGGCCTCCCCCAAGTAATGCCACAAAGCACGGTCTTGAGCCACCTGCATCCATCGACTTCCTGCATATCTTACCAGGTCGTCACTCCATCTAGTGGGGGGTCGCCCTACACTTCGCCTACCGGTACGAGGTTTTCACTCGAGAAACTTTTTTCCCCAACAGTTGTCGGTTCTTCGAGCTATATGGCCGGCCCATTGCCACTTCAGCTTACTCAACAGTAGTTTTATCAAAAAAGTGAAAAAGGTTTGAGAGAAACAGTGAGAGGGTAAGTTGAACTGAATAACAAAAGGTATAAAAACATCCAGCCTAATGAAATGTTCCTGCTTTTCTCTGATAGACTCGGAAGATCATCTATTGTCAAATATCGCAAACATTACGTAATAGTATCGCAGTGATCAGGAATGCTCATTAAGAATTGCTACGTTCAACAAGAGGATTAGGGTTTATTAACTGGTATAACGTGTACAAAGACGTTTGGAAACTTTAACAGTGTGTTCGAGGCTTAGTTTGTTGTTCGATCCGTTTACGTCGACTCTAATTAATTTAACCTGTGTATCACTTCGAGAAAGAGCCAGCTCAGATGAGTGAGTTATTAAAACGCCATTAAAACATGAATCACTATTTTAAATTTTATTTTTCTATGGATTAATTCTGGCATTTTGTAATGAAACTCGACGAACAGATTGAGACCAATGCGTTTACTTAGTATTAATGTAAATGACAACGGTTATATCGGAAAATATGTACGTTCGCACAATTTCGTGATTGTAATTTTTGGTAAATTGACAATTAAAACTGCGAGTCCCGCCAGCATCAATTAAATAATTTAATTGATGCTGGCGGAACTCGAACCCAGCTTGCTCGCACACTGTGAAATTCATCCTTGAGGGGAATTTGGGGTCACGGTAGGCAGCCCCAAATGTAACATCTTATGAGGAAGGTGACACGGAAGTGTTCCCGAGACTGAGCACTGCGAAGGTCTGGGGGCAGTAATCATACATTAAAACATGTAAAACTTTAATAAGAACAGAGACAAACATAAGCTTTTAATATCAGTTACTAAACTCCACAGAATTAGTAATTAAAAATGTTATTAACCAAAGATTGTACGAAAGGGTTATTATATAATTAATGTGAATTACGCTAAAAATTAGGTATAGAGAATGAGATGAGAGATCATGCTGGTTCTATTATATATATAGAAATTATTGTAAAAATAAATGTTTGCTGGTACTTTCCAGCACAGAGGTAATATATAATACATTCAGTGAGTATTACGTAATCATCGATATTAAATAAAAATTCTATTGTTTACATTTTTGAAAAATTATATGCACCCATAGAGCAGTACATAACTTTCTCTCTTCACAGCCTTAGAAGATTCATGGGATTACCCTTGATTTTAATATTCAGCGATTATAAATTAACTGTAAATATGAAAATGAATAACACCACAATGAATATTAAAACTTCATACAATGTCGAGAAAATTCCGTCGTAAAACAGATTCATTGAAAATTAGGGAGAGCTTATTAGCTGAAAAATCTGAGCTTTCAGTTAGAGCTTCAGTCGCTTCAGTCTGTGCGAAAAGCAGTGCGGTGCGGCCGTCACTGACGCGCTCTAAAAAAAATCGTCAACCATATCGCAGAAAGTTGCATCTTGTTTATTGGTAAGTACTTACGATTGTTTTTATTTTAAGGTAATATGAAGATATGAATTTATACAGAAAAACGGTCTGTTACAAATTTAATATAATCTGAAAAGGCTGGTTAATATAAAACGGAATCTAAAAATAATAAAGTTATCCTTTTAGTTATCGAATTGATTTTAAATTAGGATTTTTAAAATTAATTCAATAAAGTTATAAGTTTAATTATCCTGTAAGGTTTTGATTAGTTATTTGTTATACTAAGTTTGTTTTAATCATTTATGTCTGGATACGTGTAATATGTAAGTTCAGAAATAGCTGTAGTAACGTATTGATGTATATTATTTGATACTCGTATTATATTTATTGATTAGGGCATAGAATAAATAATTGATTATATACGTCGCTTTCGTAGCAAAGGTGTTTGTAAATGTAAAAAAAATGCATGAAGGTTATAAAAACTTGAAAACATAAGCTTTTTGTGGCAACAATTTATTGTTTTAATAGACGTATGGCATATTAAGGTAAAATGGTGCTTGTCAGACGCGCGACTGTAATTTACTTAACAAGTTACGGGACTATTTTGAATAAGTTATATATTCACAATTTAGTGCTGTTTGTAGTTTTATTTTTAATAAGATGATTTTTGATCGAATAGGGTGATATTATTAGTTTATGTGGAGACACATACTTAACAAAGTTAAATTGTTCAAGTTAAATTGTTTGAGGTTGAATTAAAAAAACAACATTTTAACCAATAAATTTATCAGTTATTTTTTTAATTAATAACTTTTATTTGTTAAATAAACTCGACAATTATAGGCATGTTTACACGCGTCCAGTACAAGATGCGCGAATGTGTTCCACGGAGGGGCAACATGACAACTTTACTTTTACTTAACACTAGATTTCGCTCCACACCTATCTATACCGCGGACTGTATATGAAAATCGATGCTTAATGAGTAAAGTCCAATAATACACAAGTCCTGTATATCAGGAGTCCCTTTCATAATTTAGATCACAAAAATATTGTTTAGACTTTCTTTAATTTAATTTTATTACATTCTACTTTATTTACTTAATCAATTTACACTACTTTAAAATTAATTAATTAATTTAAGCCAGAAATCCTCTGTTGAACGTAGGCCTCCCCCATAGATTGCATCAAGGAGGGGAGCAATGTTGTTACCCTTGGTAGTCGGGTTGAGAAATGCAGTTTTATAGTATTTAGAATAGTTATCAGAGAGGCGCTGCTCCCACCATCTGGTTCAGTTTCCCTCTGACGCCGCTCAGGATACCAAGAGATGATGTGGGGCAGTAGCATCTCCTACATCGCCTCCACATGGCTGTTATATACAATAATTTTTTGTCATATATTTTTTTTTATTATTTACAACATCAAATTTTAAATTTGAATTTCTCTCTATTTTCTTTTCAATCAATAATATACCAAATTCCGGTATTTTGAAAACTGAAATATAACATAATATATCACATACAACTAACTACTACTAACTAAAACATATCAAAAATATCAAGTATCAGTTACTCAAAAATTAAGAATTTTTCTCTGAAAATTTTCTGAATAGGTTTATTTTAAACGCAAGTACAGATGTTATC